GGCGCAGCACACCAGGAATGGGCAGCGCTCACAGAAACACCAGCACTGCCAGAAAAACTCCCTTCAAAGAGGCAGATCCCCTCCAACACAAGCACGGGAGCTTGGAAAGAACAAAAGCAAATTGACTGATGCTGCTGGAGACACCTTATCCTCCAGGACAGGGAGTGTGCCCGCAGGCTGTCCCAGCTGGGATAGCGTAACTCCTACCCACCCCGAGCCAGCCCTGCCTTGCCCCGGCAGGGAGGGATGCCACAGGGTGCTCCCTGCACAGGAGCAGCTCTCCCTGCTCTAACAAGCTCATGGGTATATTTGAAAGCAATAGCATCTCTCCTCCTACAGGTTTTCAGAGGCTACAGCCCATGGCTCCGGCAGCCTCTCCTGGCTCTGCTTGTATTTATCTTCCAAATGTTGAAGCCTTTGGTTGCTTGGAGCCTGCCAGGAGGAGCAACAAATAACAGCTTCCTATTATGTGAGAAAGCATGCAGTTCTGAACAGTTCAGTGTTACTGTACCACAAAATACACGAGCGGGTGTCTGCTTAGAGAGCACCAACGCCCGAAACTCCCGCAGACAGGGAGGGCTATCAGCTAGGGAAGATATTTTGTAGGGGAAGTAGAGGAAAGCTGTATCTATGAAGCTGAAAAGTGGTTTTATTAGAACTTGTTATCTCTCCTTTGCTGGAGGGGAGTACTAGCATCCAATTTGTCACAAAGAAAACCTTCATCTCTCTCTTCTAACATGGTGGCTTAAGCAATGACTCAGATACAGGAGTTTTAGACGGCAACTGATCCTTCCATTTGTTTCTGCTCCTGGAGGCTTTCAGCAACAGCTGCTGGACTGCATCACACCAGGGAAAGGTCATCTTGATATGCCTCCTTCCCCCTTCCAGGGGAGAAGGATCTGGTTTTTGTGTATCACCCTCATGAACGGAAGCATCCTGTGCTGAAAATGGCTTTGAGGAGCAGAAAGTCTCCGCAGTCTGACTGCTCTCCAGCTTCCTCCCCGATGGGCGCAGGCAGGGGAAGATAACACTGAGACGCTTGCCCCGGCAGCCGCAGCACTGATCTTACGTTGGACTTCTTAGATGAGGCCCGCATCGCTGCTCTCAAAGCGAGGAGTCACAGGTCCTTTCCAAAACACCCCTCCCCGGTGCACACTTCACAGGAGAGCTCTTTGATTGATCTGACTGTGCCTTACACTAAAGAGCCACAGCAAACTCGGTGCCTTCCCAGGTACTTGCTGCGGCTTCAGGTTCTGGTAGAGAGATCTTGTGAGGAGGCCTTTGCCAAGGTGAGAAAAATCCTCCAGGCTTTGGGTGCAAACAAGCTCCAGGCTCCCCCGACACCCAGGCAAACACTCACCTGGTTCTCCATCAGGTTTGCAAGGGGAGTTTTGTGTTTTGTCCTCAACACAAGCAAAATACGCGCCCTGCTTTTTGTGCTGGACTGCAGGAGGCACACCGCGGCTGCAGCAGCTCTCTCCTAGCCGCGATTTGACAGGCTTCTTCTGTTCCAGGAGAGAGAAAAGCTCTCTCTGAAAAGGTTTTAAGGCTTTGTGCTATCCTTTCAGTAGTTACTGGCAAAATATATCCCACCAGCCTGCCTGATCAGACTTCTGCAACTCTGCAAGGAGTACGGGTATAGGTTTGCAGTGAGTGGAAGGACAGCCTGCAGCCACCAAGTTCTCAAAGGAAAATAACAGCCTCAGTGATCTACAGCACAACCTCTGGGAGTAGAGAGGAGATGAAAAGATACAAACCACCCTCTCTGCTAGGAAACCTGCACAATATCCTTCTGCCTTCCCTCTCCCCGAGGCCGGAGCTGGGGGGAACAGGGCACACAGAAGAACAACTGAGCAAAAGCACCCGAGTTGCAGGATCTGGGATTGTTTGCAGCAACTGGTTGAGGATTTTTAAATAAAATCAACTGCAGGGGAAAAAAAAAAAAGGTGCTGTTACATGCAGGCTGCAAGCAGGAATTTGTGTTTTATGTGATGAGAAAACAAGAATTTCAGCTTCCAGAAAAGACCAAGCTTCTCACACACCTGCTACCTGTAAGAACAAAGGCCTCAGCCCAAAGAAAAAAATTAATAAAATGAAGGAGGCTGTTGATTCTGACCTTTCTACTGCTGGAGGGAGCTACACCACTCTCAGCACAGACAATGCCCAAAGACCTGTAGCTTGAGCAAGCCAGAGAACAAGAACTGCCTGGGTTTGAAGATCAGCAAGCTTTCAGTATAGCCTTTTCTCACTTTTGTCTTCCTGGTTTTGAGAGCAAATAAGCACTGATTAAACAGCATTTTATACGCTTTCAAGGTTTCACATCAGCAACACAAAACCTGCCTTTGGCATGGGAAATGGGGCAGAGACCTTGGCAAAGGGCATGCCCTAAGCCTGTGCCCACAAAGCTCTGCTCAGGGGCTGTGTGCTACGGAGCCAGCAATGGCCTGAAACAGGGTGGTAGAGAAAAGCCTAATCCTGAGCTGACTGGACCCATAATCCCCAGGCTGGTGGGGCACAGCCTGAGGGGAAGGACTCCCCTCTCCCCTCTGCAGGAGCTTTCAGCCCTGGAGAAGGCAACAGTCTCCCCTTCAGCAGCGCTGACCTCAGACAGAAGCCAAAAAATCTGCAGTTTTTCAGGCACATATTCTGCTCCACATTTATTTTCTCTTCAAGAGTGCTTTCTGTTGCAGACACAGCCTCCTTGCCAGGCCTGCGAGGGTGCTTCAAGAAACAAAGTTTTGTTTTGTTGGTAATTTATGGCAAGGCTGCAGCTCCCAAACTGCCCAGCGTTAGAAAACAGAAGGCTGCTGTGCTACCCCCCCACCCCAATGCCTTGTGGAGTGATTAAGGATAGCTTTAATTTGAGGCCTGCAGCTCAACAGTTCCCAAAGGATTGATAAAATATATATAGCAATCTCCAGTTCCACCTCTGGAGGCCGAACTCTCTCCCGATGATTAACGACAGCTATTTCCTTCCTCTCTCCCTGCTGCTGAAGAAGGCTGATTCTCTGCAAGGTCCAGCCAGCACTGGGCCCACACTCTGACTACCAAACAGCAACATTTACAACCACAAAAAACCCTCCAAGAAACAGAATCCCCCCAGAGAAGTGAGACAGCACCATATAAGCCCAGCACAGATCTTCTAATAAAGAAATTGGGGTAATAGAGTCAGGCTACTTGAGGCTGGGTTAGCAGTGCTAGCCTAACGCAGCAGGAACCACCTTTGAGGCTGCTCCCAGGAGGCAGCAACGCTAGAGCAGCCTTCCCCCGCCAGCAAAAATTAGCCGCTCAAATGTTACCCTCCTTCGGTGTCTGTTGCTACAGCCTGAGGCTCAAGAGGAGGGCAGTGCGGGCGGGAAACCAGCACTCATCTAAAGGAAGAGCTGCTGTCTGTTCCTCAGGCACCCGTGTCCTCCACGGCCACCGCCTATCACAGACTCTATGCCAGAGGCAGCTCCAATACAGATTAAATGTAAATAAACTGTGAATATCCCAGCTTGCAGCTCCCCAGAAAGCCACCCTGCCCAGCCTTGTGTCCAGGAGGGTCTGTTCCCACCTGGGCGCACAGATAACCCTCCAGTGCTGCTTCTATTAAAGAGCAGGTGCCAGAAACAAGCATTTAGCCATTGCTTAGAAGAAACCATATGAGCTCTAGACTATGAGAGGAGTCTGGTGAGGACAGCGAGCCTCCTGGCTACCGCAGCCCCAGGGAATCGCACACTTGGGAGAGGGAAAGATCACAACATGCATTTCCAGAAGAGATGGAGGAGGATTCAACAAGAGCACAGAACTCTCTGAGGAGAGCTTCACTTCCGAGCAGAAGTTTTAATATTTGTTTAGTACAGGCCCGGTGAAGAGAACTGGGAAATAAGGCAAAGGCAAATTATCCTCCAGAGCCCAAGTTAACATCCCATACACACAGACCACGCAAAGCAGCAGCTGTGTTTCTCCCTGGAGCCATGTCCCACATCTACCCCATCTGCTGGAGCACAGCCTGTCATTTATAAGTCCAGAAGGAATCGATTGACTTTTTTCAGGTATTCTGACTTCAAATAATCTCCCAGCTCATCCTTTGTGACCCACAGGTAGTCTTCCTTCAGCTCTGCCTGGCACAAATCACTGCTTTGGAGGAAGGCTTTGAAGAAGAATACTTTGGCTCCCACGTTATCCTCAGTCCTGATGGCCTTGGGGAATTTATACTTGTAAATCCCATATGGTGCATTCCCCAGGATTTTGGCTTGAACGTGATCTCCTGCAAGACCCCAGCAAGGCAAGAAGAAGAAAACAGAAAACAAGGCGTAAGAACACAGAGCAACAGTAACTGCTCTCCTGTAGTAACAAAAAGGTAGCATAAGCCACACCTCCTACGTGGTTCAGACTGACTGTTCCCTCTTCTTAACAGAAATACTGCCAATTGTAATGTTTTCTCATGAAAAAAACAACTTGTACTGGAGTCCAGCGAGTCCTCTCAGAGTGACAGAGGGAGGGAGAGAGTATCAAGCTTTGCCAACCCACAGTGAAAAGAAATGACATGTGGGTTTGTCATCACCCATCTGCCACAAAACCCATCTCTCCCAGGGGTACAAGAGGGAAAAAAAAAAACAGGGGTACAAGGGAAAGAGAAGCCATGCATCTGGAGCAAGCTTAGACCATTTAGGGGGTGTCAGGTGAGGCTCCAGCATCAGACTGCGAGGGTCAGATCCAGCACCACAGCTGCTGGCAGCCAGAGATCCCAACTTGCAGTCTGCCAGCCCAGTCAGCCCCCTGCACGCTGCAGTCAGTCTGCGGCGGTACACAGTTACAGAGCCGATTACCCAGGATCACAGCTCTTGACAGAAAGCCCACCCCATTGAGCTCCGTCCCTCTGCCATGAAATGCCTTTTCCCAGCAGATGGGAAGCTATTTCCCTA